ATGCCGGACAAATGCTGCAGGTTTTGTCGTGGGTGCCCCCATGTACATGGATCTAAGGATCTAAGGGTGGAAGTGCATACCCCTTGTTCATAGCCCTTAGCTTCCATGGTTTTCACCTGGGTATTAACATCACGCCTTGTGGGTTCATTTGCCCAAGATTTATGTAAAAGGGTCTGTGCAAGCACCCCCTGGCATGGAACCACCTTCGGGGGTTGCCCAAAAGGAAAAATCCTCCAGAAATGATGCGTGATGGGATATGGGTTGCCCTTGCTCCAACAATCATGGAAGCTGGCAGGAGGGTTTGGGCACGGAGACCACTTTCCTTTTGGGGAAGCCCCCCCTGCCCACTTCCATCATGGTTGGACGCAGGATGCTGATTGCCAACCCCACCTTTTGGGAGGGTACCTTCCGTCACCAAATGTCCCTTTTATGCCACAAGAAAGAAAGTCTTCTTTAGGGGACCTGAGATTAGACCTGAGCCGCCCCAGATCGATGTTAGTTGGGTGGGTGCAGTGCAAGTTTCGATCTGTGCCGTTCGCCGAAAAAGCTGCGCGCTGCTTGCCGCGGAACTTGGGCTTATTTAATTTAGTGACATCAACAAACTGGGTGCATGAGGGGGGGTCCAATTGTCAGCGTGCTTGGGACCGCGGGTACGCATTCCGAGTTGCAAGCAGCTCAGGCCAGTCAGCCGGGTCCGGGTTTGGTTGGACAACTTTCACCACAGATAGGCGAACACTTTGAAGCCGACAGGGTGCACCTTGTGGCAAGCGCACGGGCGAAATACAAGGAGCTCACTTCCGGCTGAATAACCCGCTCCATGACGAAGGATCAGGTTTGTCCAATTCGCTTCGGATAAAGCTGGCGAGCCGGGGGGAGGAAGTTTCAAACAGAAGAACTATAGTTTGGAGCACGCTTCTTTGCCCCTTGTCTCTCTCTCTCTCTCTCTCCCTCTCTCTCTCTCTCTTTCTCGCTCTCTTCATTATGTTCTTCTCCTTTCTTATCTTTTTCTCACTGTCTTTCTCTTTTTTTTGTCTCTCTCTCGCTCTCTCTCTCTCCTTGCTCCTTCCTCTTGCTCTTCCTCTTCGTCCTTCTTCGTCTCTGTCTCCTTTCTCATTGTCTTCCTCCTTCTCTTTCTCTCGCTCTCTCTCTTTCTCTCTCTCTCGCTCTCTCTCTCTCTCTCTCTCTCTCTCTCTCTCTCTCCCTTTTCTCTGTTTCTCTGTGTCTCCAGGATGAAAAGCGTAAACATAAACACACACCCCAAAAAAACAACAACTTTCACGTGAATTCACACACAGGGCCACGGTTTCGATCGATTCCCAAAATTGGGGGATGTTCCGTCTTCTCGTAGTTGTTTTTTAGCGTGCAGTGCATCTACATTCTTAGAGAGGGCTAGCTCAATTGGTTCCACTACCACGGGAGTTCCTTCTTGGGAAACTAGAGGCGTCAATTCGGCTTGAATTACAGGCATGCGCAGTAGCGACCTCAACATCACGGGGAGTGCGCAAGTATGCAAGTATGCGGAATGCTAGCGAAGGGGAGCCAGAGCCTGGAGATGTGGGGAGCAGAATGCCCTTGAATTTGAAAGTTTTTTTGTTCAAGCAGGGCAACATGCAGCCCAAGAAGGCAAATGTCAGAAATCTAGCACACAAGTTAGAACTATGATGAAGAGCTTTCTGCCTGCTGCCGACTGTCCTTGAACGCGGGTGTTTCTCTTTATTTCATGTTTTACAACTTGGCCAGTCCACTTGCTCATTTTGGCTTGCAGGCGCCAGAGACGCGCACAACCCGCCCAGAGTTGGTGTGTGTGTGTTGTTTGTTGTTTGTTTTGCTGTTGGCCAAGTAAGTGTCATCAGCCCACCCCATTGTGAGACATCTCAGCCTTTGTTCTTGCACGTTTTGTCTCGGACGTTGCTCGTTTGCCCGTTGCTGGCCGCGCCGGCCACATGATGGCCATGCCGTGGATCTGGCTTTGCTGCGTGTCAAAGCCCCCGGCGGCCGAGGCGAAGCAGCGGGGAAAATCAACCTGGTGGATTGTGCGAGAGGTGTCAAACAACAACAGAAGGAAACTGCTTAAATGAGACGCCCCCTATCAAACAACCAGGTTTTGTTTCATCATGGGTCAACATCAGTAGGAGCCCAACATGACCCCTTCGTGGATTCAAAACGGGGGAGCAATTGAAAGGATCACCCACTTTGGGGGGAAACATTTGCAAGGCGAATTAAGCCGGGATCACCATGGGAGTAGCAGTTGGCCGTGCGAATATTTGGCTGCCACTTGGTTTCTGCGTTCATGTTGGCTGCACCTATGAGTTCTTTTGCCGCCCGGCGTGGAGGAGTGTGACATGTTGGACTCGGGAGGGTGGAGCTGGGGTTGCAGATTAGAAGTAATGCCTGTTGTAATGCCTGGTTATTTCAAGAGATGCAGACGATCGATGAATCAAATGAAGGATGCGCGTGTATGTGTGTGTGTGTGTGTGCGTGTGCGTGCGCGTGTGCGTGC